GCGCCGCGGAACCCCGGGGCTGTGACGGGGAAGGCGCGGGGGTGTTCTGCTTGGATGCTGTAGCGGTCGGTGTTACGCCAGGCAGCCGGACATTTTAATTAACAGCGGATCGATTGAAGTAGTTTTTGTTCTATCGGAAATGACCTGGCTGAGCTGAGGGACGAGGAGGAATTTAGCAGGCGCGGGTCTGATTTTTCCCACTCCCCTGAGAACACTTGGCAACTTCTGCGTTCCCTGAAATGCAGGAGCCACGAGCGCTGAGCATCCTTCAAAGCTGAGTCCCTCTTCGTCTGCTGCAGCACAGCCGCTGCAGAGGGGCCTAAACTGAAGTCTTAAAAGTCGGTTGTGATCCCAGATGCATTTGGGATTTTCCCACGATTCTCCAAACGCTCCGTCTCAAAGGTTCAGAAGTAAGAGCATGCGGGAACTCTCGCTTATCTTGACCGCCTTGAGTATTTGAATCCCATTACATCTGCCTGGATTATCTTAATTCTGTCACATACCTATTTTTCTAACTTCATAATATTTGGTTATTTGGAACTTTCACTACCTTTTTCTGAACTGTTCCAGGTACTTTTCTGCCTGCCTGGGCTGTCACTCCAGGTACAGACCATCATTTGTGTATTTGCACACCTTGAACACGCCCTAGCATCACACTTCTTTATTGTCTGGCTCGGTAGATATCTTCATTGCATTATCCGTAAGGCGTCCCTTACTCCAGGCTCACTGGCATTCTGGTTGCTTAAGATTAAATGCATAATGTTCTGTTACAAAGACAGCTTTGCAGAATTTTAAGTGCTAATACAGAAAGGCTTATTTTCATGGCCTTTATTTTCCCTTTATTATTGGCTTATTTCCCTTTATTTTCCTTTATTTATGTAATGTGTGGAACACGCATTACAATTTTCACCTCTCTTCACTTTGTTCCATTCCATTTTTTTCCATATTATGTCCTTCTGTACCATCCTACTTTTGCTAACATAGAAAGGCAGGATAGAAAGAAGATAAATGGCTGGTCCAGGAGCAGGTAAAGGCAGTAATACATGCCTTCATACTGCCAGAAGCAACAACAACAACAAAAAGGCAAAACTGGAGGATTCATCATAGTTACGCTGCCACAACTAATAGGAGAATTTTGGTCGTAACCTTTCCCTGGCCTCGTTCATTCTCTGCTGCTATAAATTTTCTTCTCCCTGTTACCTGTTACTCACCTGGGGGACCCAGGTTTTAGGTATTTAGCAGCAGCAGTTCTAGCATTCAAAGAATTCTGAAACATCCTCCCTGGGATGCCAAGTGAATTTACTGTGCTGTTCTTTGACGCTGGCCTAGCTGTTTCCAGATTCTCCGCAGTTTCACCTCCACCACTCAGATACACTGTACAAGTTAGTCCCTCTGTGCCACTGCTTA